CACGGAACACTAGTGTGCCGCGGCACAGTGGTTGAAAAACACTGCCTTAAAAAACTAAAGTTATCAATTTGTAAACTGTGTCACATTTTTTTAAAGAATGTCCATTTAAATTATTCACTATTAAATATCAAACATCATAACACAAATTTATAATGCAGTGGTGTACTCAATTCAAATTTTAAAAATGGAAGTTATAAAATAGTTTAATCAATGAACACATTATGAACATAAATATCTTGAATATATGTACTAATATTCATCATAATTATGAATTTATTTCACAAATCATCCGTCTTTGTATAATTAAAAAATATTGCATCGTGAATTCTGAATATATACAAGAATAAAATAAAGATTTGCTTCTTGCTACATATTATACACTCCTAGTTTTTCTGTAAGTATTTTCTGTTAATTACTGCTACATACATACTTATCAGGTTTCAAATCTCTGTGTACTATTCCATAGTTGTGGAGATATTCCAGTGCTAAAACAGTCTCAGCAAAATACATCCTGGCCATATCTACAGGCAAAGGGCCCATATTTTTCATCAAAGTAGCACAGTCTCCACCTAAAACATAATGCATATTGCTATATTTTATTCCACACAGAGAAATCAACCACAACATTCCTACTAGCAAACAAATGGCAGTATTAAAAACAAACTTCCTTATTAGCAAATAAAAAAACAAAATACACTTCAGTGTGAACATACATTTTTTTAGTTCAGGTTAAAATTTTAAAATATTGTACACTAATTTGCTTATTATACTATAGCGAAGAAAGCATTTAGCTTCACAAATGTGCATCACGACTTGGGGGCAATTTTGTACCAACCACAACTTGTTTGATTGGAGTCTTTCCTTCCCACTCTTATTTCTTTCCTCAATAACCCGTGAGGTAAATTAAATAAGAGATTATAACAGACAAAATGACATTAGATAATCTTGTGATCATACAGAGACTTGATGCTATGTCTCCCTTTTCCATTCCCATTGTTGCTATACAATTACTATGACATATGGAGGAGAGTCATCTTTTAAGTCAAGAGATAAAACATTAGAAATTTCTAATTTTCAATATTCATTTATGGTTTCTCAATATTACAATACGTTGCACTTGACACATGATGTAAAACAAAGACTGTACCTTCCACATACTCCATGACCATGCATAAATGGCGTTTAGTTTCAAAGGAACAATACATGCTGACTACAAATGGATTTTCTGCAAATGTCAGGATATCACGCTCAACAAACGCCTGCTGAATCTGGTTTCGAAGAATGAGATTCTGTTTGTTAATCTTTTTCATTGCAAATCTCTGTCTTGTTTCTTTATGACGCACTAGGTAAACAGCCCTTGGAAAGAAAAGTAATGGGGAATTATTAAATCAATTACAATTTAAAAATTTGTAATACTAAGTAGGTGTGCAATCTGGTAGGAGTTTAACATTTAACATTAACAAGTTTAACATTTGAGAAGTAATAAAATTTATTTCTTAATGCAGCTTGCTATCCCAATTTATCATTCATCTACTCAATTACAGAAAAGAAGCATTCATAATGTTTTGATCATTATCTCTGTTTCATTTTATTAAATTTTTCATAAAAAAAGATACGGCACAATATTACAACTGAAATAATACACAGTTAGATAAAATGTTATTGTACCCAGAAATGTTCAGTTTCAAAGGAAAGTTGAAAGATTATAAATATAAATAAGAAAAAAATCGCTTATTTATTATTCCAATTTATACAGCTACCTATGTCATATATATATGCTCTAGGTGCCTTATAAATAAATAAAACAATATAAAACAACCAAACAATACAATAGTATAAAAACATAAAAACTATCATAAAATTCATAGCTGAGATAATCACTGTAACACTCAAAACCACCCCAGGGCAAGTTCTGCATTAATAGATTAAGAATAAATTACTTAATAATTTAAGTAATAATTAAATAATAAATTAAAATTAACACATTGATTATGAACAAGGTTGAAAATGGCATAAATTTCATAGGTAACACTGTTGTTATATTCAGGATTTATCATAAGAAGTTAAAAAAATAGATTCCTCCCTACTCATACTATATGTAGTATCACAATTAATACACTAGTTTAATTTCTTAATTTTCAAACTAGAGAAAGTATACAAAAGAAAGAAAACAAGTGAAAACTCAAAAATTGAAGATAAATGCCTTTGAACATACCATAATTCAGTGCTTGCAAGCCAATATTATTACAATAAATTAAAATTCAAATTACAATGACACTAACTTAATCAAAAGTTCAAATCACATATCCACTGTTTGCATTTCCTCATAATGTATTTTAGAGAACACCATGTTCTCATTGCCACAAAGCCACATTTACCTCTTCAAAATTTGATGTTTGTGTAAGTATTTATAGCTTAAGTTCCAAGATATATATTTTTATGAAGCACCTTCAGGAAACATTTCAAATACGTTAAGTAGTAGAAATATGTGGATTGGGGAGGGGGGGGAATCAGCAACCTTTCCTCAGTTAGCAGGATTTAAAAGCTCCAGAAGAGAAAAGTATTGCGATTTGGCTTTATCCTTTTCTGGGATTCCGCAATTCTTCAGCACAGAATAGTTGAACAAACAGATACATATGAATGTGCCAGCCTTTCAAAGCAGATTAGACTAGAACAGCATGAGTTGTGTATGCTACTTTTATTATAAGATTACAATAATAGAAACTTGCAATGCTGAATAAACCCCCCCCCCCCCATTCCTTATCGTCGTGAAAACTAAGGATGATCATGTATGAGACACTTTCTTACATTACAATTNCACGTGCATGTGGGGGATGCTGGGCCCTGTTGCACCGTACCAGTTGCAATGGGATCTGGAACCTACCACTGCAACAGAGACAGGTTTCCAGTTGTTTATAGGAAGGATTCTAACAACGGTTTTCTGCACCTTTCCCAAATTTCAGTAACAATGCAATGTTGAACTTTTACTTTGGTCTGACTTATTGCTTTATACATCAGACTTGCTAATGGCTTAGATATCAGAATATCTTATTTGACCACTGTAATTATCTCTGGGGCAGGAGAATTCCAAGAAGTGCATGCCCTTTTATGCTGCCTGTTTTACTATTGCTGAAAGAACTGGTCACCATGCAGATGACACAAGACATTTGTGGTAAGGCTAATGCACTAATGCTAACGCACTAAGACCAAGTTTAAAGTCTATCTTCAGGTATGCAAGCTCACTGGATCATTTGGGGCAGGATCTTGTCTTTCAGCTCATCCTACTCACGGGATTGTTTTTGCAGAGAAAACTGCAGAAGAAATTTAAGGTAGGCTGCTTTTGCTCGTGATGAAAAGGTAAATATAAATCTGGAAAAGAGATGCAGTAGAAGAAAATAGATGAGAAAGTTACGTTATTGTTAGCTTTTGGGTAATACACATTTCAGGAAAAGCAATCTTCAAAAAATTTGCCTTTTAAATCTATGTGCATTAAAAATGGAGGAAAATGTTGCCCCAAGGTCATATTAATTGAGAATGAAAATCCCTTAACTGTGGAGCGTTTGAAAGATAGACGGCAGAGTGTTCCATAAATGAGTAGAATTTCCATTCTTTTTAGAAAAGAAGCTTATAGCCACAAGAGGGTGCTCCAATCACACCAATGCAAATTCATTGCAAGGTTTATTCACACTTTCCTAAGCCGAAATTTCATTGAACTCAACAAGGGTTACTTCCGAGTAATGTAGCTAGGACTGCAGCATTAGAATTCTGTTGTTCATTGACTCAATTCTCAAAACAAAAAGGAACAACAATTTACCCATTTTTTTTTGTTGAATGTATTACAGAACTTCTTTACTAAACAATTCCTTACACCTTTCAAACTACAACTAAGAGTTTTAACACAATATATACATTTCTTCTTCTTCTTCTTCTTCTTCTTCTTCTTCTTCTTCTTCTTCTTCTTCTTCTTCTTCTTCTTCTTCTTCTTCTTCTTCTCCTCCTCCTC